TCAGAAATAGCAGAACAGGTAGTCGAGTCATGTTCTGAGTGAGTGAAGATCTGCATGTGCAATGTGGCTTTAGAGCCTCACTGACCTTCTGACAAGGTCTTGGCGATGTGCAGGAAAGAGAACAGTAGGCCTTTGATTTCATATTGTCCCAGTCTGCCGATAGGAGGCATGGTGCTGCTGCTCATGGTTGAGGCGCGTCTCTGCAGCTGGAACAACACACAGAAAACGCTCGTTAACTAATTTTAAAGCACTCCTACTTCCTGTTTGGTTAGGACCAGCACTAGAGGAAAATCTTTGAGTGTCAGAGGATCTAAACGGTCGTATTTTACAGAAGGAGAATCATTTATTTAAACCCAGACTTGAGGACAGGCTCACTGATGAAACCTTTGTTACCAAAAAAATCCTGAGCGCAAACAGTATGTGAGAGGTTGCTTTCGCAATTAATATCTCTTATCAGCAAACACACAAAACAAACATGTTATTGCTTTTGATTAGACAAAGCAGTGAGAAGAAACAAGTCTTAGAATTATGCTGATGAGGTGAATCGTGGATGTAAAAATATACAGATTTACAGATAAACCAGCAGAAAAGCAAAATTTAGAGCAAAATTGCACAAAAACCACTGAGCAGAATGTCCTGGAGGCGAGGAGGAGACGGAGAAAAGGAAGAACCTATTCATTTTTCACCTATATATAGCTTCAGAGTGCTTTTTCTCTTTAAACGTCATTATGTGTTTTTCTTCAGTCTGTCAGGGGTTTCATCTAACTGTCATTTACAGGTCAAATCCACATGACTAGCACTTTCTCACGTTGCGACTGAATTGTAAGCACGAGCATCTGCTCATCTGGCATCTCATCACAAAACATGAATGATCGCTGGTTCACATGAAGGTGGTGTTTTCCAGTACAAGCCACGTCACACGTTTCCCAAATGAGTCATGGTTGAAGAGCAGGAGAAGAGTTTATGTTGGCTCCGAGTTCACAGAGGTTTCCTGCTAAGAAGACACAGGCATTGTCCAAAAGTAACATGCAGCTGCTTTTTAACATCATTGCCAGAAAGTGACCCGTGAAGGCTTCAGATGTAACGCCGAGGCAGTGTGTCTACGTGGCCTACACGAAGCCCACGTCCGTTGAGTAAAATGTTGAAGTGGAACAAAGCAGCGCAAAAGTTTGAGCACTTCAGAACTAATTAGAATTTCCTGATTTTGGGAAGTGACAACAAACCTTCCAGTGAACAAAACAGTTAAACTGAAATTTGCATATCACATGTTTCAGGCTGCTTTGCATACGGTATGTTTAGGTTTCCCGCACAGTGTTTCAGAAGTGCTTCCGTGAGGTGACTCCAAAGGGCTCAGACTGCATTCTTAGAAGTATTTAAAAGTGGATATAAAAAAGTTCAGGGCTTCAACGCAAAACCGTGATAATCAGAAATTGTCTGACTTGTCTTGATGTCAACAGTTCAGCATAACTGACATTTCTGAATGACATTCCAGGTAAGGGAAAAAACAAAGAAAAACAAACCAGTTTCCAGCTTGTCGGTTTTCTGGAACTTAGAGAAACGATAAAGTTTATTTATCTAAAAATGAACTGCCTGACAATCTGCCCTAAATATGTTTAACCTGTTGGGCTAAAATGAAATGTTACCTCACCTCAATGCTGTCCGGTGTTCCTGGGTCCATAAATAGAGAGCCTCTGGAGTCTTCCCTCCTCACAACGTGGCCATTCTGAGTTGGCTGACCTGCAACCAAAATAGGTTTGTTGGGGTTTTCTTTGTACAATTTAAAGCACCTTAACGCTACTGTTGTTGTGATTTAGCGCTCTT